TCAATGAAATATTGTTCACTCCTCCTGCATAGAAGACTCCTATCAAAAGCCTCCCTAGAAAGTTAAAATCAACAGTCTCTATTTTTAGCTATGGTGCTTTGCTCACTATCATATAAATAAGGAAGTAAACAAAATAGGTACATTAATTTCAGCTCCATGCTAAAGAGAAATAAATAGATGTGTCATATGCAAAGGATAAAGTCTATATGGAAAACAAGCTTGTTTTCAGATATTTATGTAGGTATTAAAAACAATAAAAAATAGGAATAAAAAATCCAGAAAATACAAGCAGTACTGGTATTTTTTAATAACAATTATTTCTGGAGATGTAGAAGATCAGGCTTCAAGATTTTTGGATAAGCATATATCTATCCCGAAATTAAATGTATTACTAATGACCTACTTGCAATTGTGAAAAGTTAATCAATGATACTTCAGTAATAAAATTACCAAAAGAAAAGGAAAAAGACCACTAACTGTTGTTACTGTGTATTGCTAGGTTTGCGTTCAAGTGCTGTAAGAAATTTTCTGCTAACAGCAACACACAGTCGTGTTTGTTGTAATTCCAAACAATTATAAAAATATTTAGTTTAATAATATTAATAATAACAATATTATGCTAATGTCTTAGGAAAGAGAAAAGCGCAAAATAAAAACACAAGATATACTGTGTTATAGAGTTTACAAATAAAATGTAATGTTTAGATTCAGCCAAAAGCAGACACTTAAGTAATTTAATATAGAGTTGTTTAAAGTTTAAAGACAAAAAGAAAACATGAGAAACAATAGGAAGTACTGCTACCAGCTTAATCTAAAATATATAAAATGAACTAACGTGAGGAACAGAAAAAAATATAATAATGTTATAAGACTATATTAAAAAACAGCTCAGTAGTACATTTCAAATACACTTTCAATATGTCTTTGACAACTCATTTTTGCCCAAAAAGTTGATATTTTCATTGCAATTAAATTAAGAGAACTGCCCTGACTTTTTGCCGCTTCCCTGGTCAAATTAAGTAAGGGCAGTCCTCGACTCGCAACATTTTCAGTTACAACATTTCACACTTACAACATTTATAAATTGACACCCTGTTTCAACTTTATGACGTCAGTTTCGACTTTACAATGCTTGATCTGATGCGACACCATGCCAGCGAATAAGTTCGCTGCATCGCCCATCTCCCTGGAGAACATCTGTCCAAACTTCTTTGGACACTTTCTTTAGGAAAGCAGACAAGACTCTAGAAAAACCTGCAGCCAAGGCTCCTGAGAAGACTCCAGCCAAGAACCCTTCAAAAAGTCCAACCAAGAGCCTTTCAAAAAGTCCAGCAAAGTCACCTCAAAGCAGTCCTTCCAAATCAATATGATTGCTATTTACAATATAAATACACTAATGCAGCTATATTACTCATCTATAACTGATCGAGTACAAAATTATGGGGTATTTTTGGTGAAAATAGTGCATCAGGCCTTGGTTCAGGAACCAATCCCACATTTATAACATTGTTTCTTATGAGAATTGGTTCTGAGTTACAACATTTCGACTTAAGACACGATTTTCAGGAACCAATTGTGTCGTAAGTCCGAGGACTGCCTGTACATATGACAATAACGTAAAGAGTAATACTGTAGAAATTATGCAAATATTAGGCCTGTGAGAAACAGCTGCACTCTGTTTGACCAGCATTTCGATGTTTCGACAGAAAAGCATTCTGTTTCGATTCAAAACAGCTATTCCATTCGATTCTGTCGAAACAGGGTCGAAACGATGAAACATTTCAACTTACCTCGTTTTGTTTTGAGGCTATTTCAACTGTATCTGTTTTGTTTCGATTTTGCTGTTTCAACCTCAAAATGAGTTGAAACAGCGTCGAAACAAAACTGGCGGCAAAATTTCACACAGCTTTAGTAAATATCCTTTAATACACTAGAACAGGGCTGGTCAACGTGCAGCCCATGAGGTATTCAAAAAAGGTCTGGACGCTCACCTTGTTCGGGTAATCTGACCCCAGCAGTCTTTCTTGCCCACGCTCGGGGGGCTGGACCTGATAATCTCGTGAGGTCCCTTCTGGCCCCTAACATCTATGAATTCATCTGTCCCCAGGATCCCACCCAATCACCGCTCCCCATCACTTCCAGGTGTATCTTCAGTTGGGGTCTCCAAGCTTTCCCTCTGGCTTCTGCTTCCTGCACCTGTCCCAGGGGCAAGATAGCATACAGGAGCTTGTGGTGCAGGGTAGCGGGTGAGTCTGTGTCTGGTGAACTAGGGGTGGGGGCTACCTGACCGCATGGTGCAGTGAGGGGCTGGGGTGGGGAGAGGTGCCTGCATGGCAGTGGCCCAGAAGGGTCCTTGGCTCTGGCCCCCACAGTGCATAGTTCGTGAGGAGCATGGTTTCCAGTGACTTGGAATGTGAACAGCCCTGCACTAGAATATGCACTAATATGCATTAGCAATGCATTAATACAGGAAGAGATTTCTTACAACAAAAGATTTTAAAAAGGAAACAAATCTTCTGGTTTGTACCACCAGCCACCACAATACCTGTGTACCTAAAGGTACACATTGGCTGAAAGTTGAACTTAGATCAAATGCTTGAAAGATAACCATGACCATTAAACCAATATTCTTTGCCTCTCACATAATTTCTGAACCATGACAGCTACAACATCACTCTTACACTACACACTGCTCCTGGAAGCTTAGAGGAATGGAATAGGTTTAGTGAAAGAGATCAAAATGAGTGAAACAGGTCACATTAACGTCTTACAACACACTATGTAAATAGTTTTATGTAGGCAAGATCTCTTGTCTGATCCATCCACCATAAACTTGGAGATTGTAAATATATTTATGTTTAAATATATTAATGCATTTAAATGTCTGAAACCAGCAACCCCCACTGAAATGAAGAAACTATACTGCTTACAGAAAACTGTGTAACTTAGATCAATTCTGCCTCAGGCTTTCTGAATTCCTGTACTGAGCCCTTGTTGGCTTGGAAATGGTATTTAAAGGTTTGATTTTGAAAACCAGCTTATAGACAATATATATATTCATTGGAATACAGCTTTCCCTCGCTTTATGTGGATTCTGTATGTACAAATTCACTCTTATGCAATGACCCTTTTTATACCAAAAATTGATTATATGCGAGGTAAATTCACTCTTATGCGATCAGTGTGATGGAAGCCTGAAGTCAGCTGCTTTGTCGGAGTAACGCACACACCAAAAATATAGGTTCCTGTGTGGATCTGTGCTCCTCTCTCGTTGTCTGGGACACGTGTTTCTGTACTTGCCATCCCCATTATGGCTTCTAAGGGTCCCGCTAGCTTATCTCCTACCCCTCTCCCTGGTCCATCAATGAAGCCTTCACCACCCTCTCTTCACATCAGCTAAACATTCACCACCACCCTGTGCTTGTGTGTACTGTCTGCTGTTGGTGAGTAGCAAAGTTGTCTTGTAAAAATGGTAGAAATGGGTCTGGGGGTCAGTACAGTTGAGGTCTTGCAATGTATCCCTATTTGTTACATTGTAAAGTGGGTTCCCTTTATGTGAATTTGAGGTATGCACCATTTTCCAGGAAAGCATGTACAGCATGAAATGAGGAAAACCTATAATGGTTATAGCAACAAGGGTTAATTGATTTCTAAAAATCTTGGGTCTCAGTCACACAGGTTTCCCAGCCTTCAGAAGCAGACAGGGTGTCTAACTCAGGCAGGAAAATATTAAGACCACACATGCTGGGTAACTGAAAACATCCAAACTTTATTTTCATAATAGAGATAGGCCTGGCTCCATGGCTGTAGTGCCTGCTTTCAAAAAGCCTTAAGCTTTCTGGTTTTGGGGAGACAGACCAAATTAAGAGGACACCGGTAAAGCCCCAAATTAGGAGGTGGGGATGTGATAGGCTTGTGAAAATAGGGGTTTGGCTGACAACACAGGACATGTCACGGTGTGACCAACCAGCAACAACCCTGGATCAAGAGTCGTCAGAAGTCACCAAGAGAAGAAAGAATACAAAAGAAAGAGTTTTCAAAACAGAGATTGGGGGGGAAACGGTTGGCATCAGCCCCCGACCTCCAAGGCTGCTGGCAAAGGACCTCAAGATGGCGTTTACATACTGGACGGACGGATGGACCACTTGCCTTATGTGTATATTCTGGGACTGGGGAATTTGGGTAATGTATGCTGTACTTGCTTTGCCTGCATGGCTTTTATTTCTTATCACTGTGTATCAATAAACTTGCCTATTATCAACTGGCAGGGGCTGTGCTCTATCTGAGGGTTGTGCTAGCCAGGAACAAAGGTATCAGGACTGGGTTGTGAATCCAGTGCCAACAGCCCTAGCTTCTCTCAGCATTACCATTTGAAACAAATATTGATGGAGAGATTTTGAACTTAACTGAACATTGTTCATAGGAAAAATAACTGGTACTTTTAAGCTTCCTCTAGTATGCACTCCATGAAGGCAGTTGCAGAACTCTGTGTGAAATCAAACACTGGGGGTATGGTGTGCCAACCACACTGGAGGACCTGATGCAAAAGTAAAGAGGAGGGTAGAGACATTTTGTGCAAGAATTCAAAAGCAAGTGGAGTCTTATTAAGAGCTCTAAGCACTTATACAAATGAACAGCAATCTTTTCAATGAGTACGCCTTGCTTGTTAAAAGGAAACAGCCTCCTTTTCCTTCTTATCAATGCGTTCACTGAAAAGACTGAGAAGCACCTGAATAAACCAAGACATATTTGCACCCTAAGCAAAGGTGATAAAATGTGGAGCACCCTTTGGCACAGAAACAACCATGTAACAGAGGAGGAGGAAAACTTTCAGAAACAAACAGAAGGTGCTGAGGTGCTGAGCACGGACCCGTTTCCCATCACAACATTAAAAAAAAAAAAGAAAAAAAAAAGAGCAGCTGCAACGTTAAAAAAAGAAAGAAAAGAATAAAGCACTTAAAAGCAGAGAAGTGAACAGGTGAGAGCGCCTTGCTGCCTACCTAGTAATTTATTTTGGAAGTAAAATCACTTTTAGGGCACAAGAACCCCAACTGCGAGGCCCCTCGCTAGTCATTTCCTTGCTGGAGGGGCCTCGCGCTGGCATGCGGCGGCCAGCCCGGCGCTGCACCATCACCCCCGTGCCTGCTTAAAGAGAAGTGCGGGAGTTCCTGGCGGCGGGAGGTCTCGCAGCTCTTCCCCGGTACCGCTTTCTTCCTTCCTTCCCTTCTGCTCCCACCGCTTCAAGCGCTCGCTTCCGCCGGCCGGGCCCACAGGTAGACACGCTCCTTCCCGCCGCGCTGGCATGCGGCGGCCAGCCCGGCGCTGCACCATCACCCCCGTGCCTGCTTAAAGAGAAGTGCGGGAGTTCCTGGCGGCGGGAGGTCTCGCAGCTCTTCCCCGGTACCGCTTTCTTCCTTCCTTCCCTTCTGCTCCCACCGCTTCAAGCGCTCGCTTCCGCCGGCCGGGCCCACAGGTAGACACGCTCCTTCCCGCCCACCCTGCGCGCGAGACAGGTGCCCGACAGTCGGAGACACCGCGGGTAACCCCGTCAGGGCGCCGTACCTGCGCACGGTCTCCAGCCCCGCCGCTGCTGCCCGCCATCCGGCCTCGCTGCGTCTCGG